ACTTTCTACAACCCATCTAAATTTGCACAAGTAAGTGAAGATACGTTCCTCAAGTAGGCTTTCAGGTCTACCTTGGGAAATTTGTGCTTCCCAGAATGCAGTGCAGGCAACTCTGCTCCTTGCATTCTGGGATTAAACTGTGGACAGAATGGATTTGTTTTCTAGAAACTAAATGAAATCATTGTTTCCCTATTTACATGACCAGTGTACTTTAAATATTTAACTGAATTTTAACACTTTTATTGCCACAGCAACTCCTTTCGTTTGACTATTGCTCTTACGCTTAATTATCCCTCCCATTACCAGAATTCCCCTCTTTCGTCACGGCAGATAAATTAAGAAAACTACTGAAGTAGCGTAGACTGATTTATGGACTGAATTACAATGTATCTATGCAAGACTGAAACGCTGTTTAAGTGTACTTGTCACTACAGATTCTCGTATAGTGTTACTACAACCCGTTTAACTTTTTTTTTTTAATTATTATTATTATTATAATGAATAATGCCCTACTTGGACATTATGCGTGACAACAGATGTAAAATATTCACAAAGTTGACACTTGGTAGTCTGTAACAGAGTTCCGGGTTCCCTTGTCCCATCCCATGTGCTGGGGGTTTAAGTAACACTGCACAGCCAGATTCCTTCCTGCATGACCACTTAAAGCAGACGTTGCCGTGGGTAACCCTTTAAATAATATCGAATGCATTGAATATACAGTGTATGATAGTGATAAAATATATATTAGAATGCTTTAGGAAATGTTAGTGGGATACCTACCTTCCTTACTTTCCTGGTTATCTCTGCAGCTTTGTTTGTGTTACAGTAATAGAATACCACCCCAGTTCTCTATTTCCGTTCACCCTCCAATTGGCCTTGCTTGGGAACACTTTCCAAACAGGGTCATTTTCCTTCATGACACATTCATGCTGGCTTAGTTGCCTGCTCATCAAATTCATAACCCAGTGATTATGTCCATCACTCTCTCACTTCTTACATTCTCTCAGGAAGTGTAAAGCCTGCTTGCTAGGAGAAATATCTCATGAAGAGCAGGAGAGTGGCCAGTATAATAGGGTTCTCCTACTTTCCCCGTCACTCATTTGCATAGAGTTTGGTGCAGACAACTGATTGACAGGTGGGGCACAGGCCACAATTTATTATAGACTTTTTTTTTTCCCATTCCCCTTTTCTCTTCTATAAAGTCCATATATTTGTTGGCTGTCTGGCAAGCACAATGTATTGATTATTTCTCTCAATTTTTATTTCATCATTTTTTTTCTTTCCGTTTCCTTAACTGTAGACAAAAGTAACACACTACAAGCTCTTAGCCTCAAAGTTCCTATATTAGAGATTCATAGATAATTTTTATTTTTTTTATTTTTTTTTCTCCCAGCAGCCACCTGGCACGACAGGAGGAGCAAGGCCCGGCCGCCTTGGTCAACGGAAGTACCCTTCGCTGAAGTAGATTTGTTGCCTTTGCCCCACGGCGTCGTCATACATTTCAAAACATTCTCTTTCTAGATGGAGCATGTGACCTTAAAAGCTCCTACGGAACATGATACCATACACTTTTAATTCTCATGGTCAATCAGTCGCCAATTTTTGCAGCCGCCTCTGTCCCAAATGAAATATCCTAGGAGCAGATTCTTGGGTGGAGGACAGTCTTAACAGTTTTTGGGTGGCGTGACCAGATTTTGGTTCAGGAGAGCTATTTTCTGATCGAAGATCAGTTTATTTTTTTTTAGATTCTGAGAGCTGAAAGAAAAATCTGAATTTTGTGGCCTTTGGCTTTTACTGCAAGAACACCACGTTCCTTTCCAGCTGTTCACTGGGTTTTCCCATAGCAAAATCATTTGGTGGTTGAGGTTTGCAGCAGTTTCTCGTCTTCACGATTCCTTGCAGTCAGAAGAAAAAAGAAAAACCACAAATAATCAAATTCTAAAAATGTAAAAGTGTGATTTTTTAAAAATTCTTTTGCATTGTCTTTATCCTATTTCAGTGCTGGAAGATTTTGTGATTTCTGGCACTCCAGGGGTTAATTCTCAACCCAGTAAGAAATAATATATTAATTTAAAACTGTGACTAATTGACATTAATCTGGATGATTTTATTTCATAGTATGTATGTAGTCAATCTCATTGTAAAAGAAACTTTGTATAGTCTCACAAAAGTCTTTGTATAATAGTTTAACCTGTTTCCTGTCCATAGGGCATACTAAATTGTGTTGGATTGCATTGAAGGACCTTCTGGCAGTGTTAGAGTTAAGATCTGCCCTTTTTCCTGTTTGTGTGATTTTTGTTTAAGTGCAATACGTTTAACTGCTTTCTGTTGGTAAATTTAAATTAAAAAGAGAGAATGCTGGTAAACTGCTACAAATAGGATCAATTCCTTTTGGGAGGTGAAATGATTAGTGAAATTCCTTGTCTGCATTCATTATCATCATCTTTTGTGTCTTTAATATCAGCAGCATACACTTTCCATCATTAATCCCTAAATTAAAAATCAGGCCTGACTGCCACAGTCCCCATTATTCGAGAGGGTGGTACCTTTGGTAATCACAGCATGGATTTAACATTTTATTTTGGTGCGGTTTTTTTTTTTTTTTTTGCTCTTTGGTGTAAAATTAAGAAGGAACTCAACAACTGATGGTTGATGTTGCTGTGTCAATTTGAGTGGAAACTTATATTGATTGGCACAGAAATTTCCCATTCATTCCTTAAAAGAACACTCGGCACAATAACTTAATTGGAATGAAGTTATGGTGCAAGGAGGTACCTGGCGCCACCTTATTTTTTGGGAGTTAAACCATTAATAAACGTTCGAGGCTTTCTGTTTTAGGAACCTGAGAAAATTAATGGTATAACTTCCAAGGGTAAGCCGGTGCTAAGGATGCCCTGGCACAATAATAACTACAGTTTATTGACCCTTTTAGAATTTGAGAAACATTTTATTTTTAGCATCTGCAATGTTTGGGTATTTTTATATTTATGAATATTTAGATTTTTTTTAAATTTATTTATTTTCTTTTTTCTTTTTTTGGCACTCCCAGTTAGTTTTAGGTATATTTCCATATACGTGCCAAATTTGGGCCAGGGCTCCCATCTGCTACTCCATGTCAATTTCCAAAGATTAGGGGGGTTTTTTTGTTTGTTTTTTTTTTCTTTCCAACTAAATATTCCCAAAAGCTCTCAGGGTAATCTTTCAAATTGTACACAATGATTCTATATACTATGCAGTTGCAGAGTCAGTGATTTGTTTAAATTTGGCCATGTTATTCCCTTACAATGAGTTGTGATGTTTGTTTGACTTAGGGAATATATTGTGGTTTTTATATTCTGCTCGCATATGTAAAGATTCACATATATTTTACTGTTTTCTTTTGTAGTCCCACCCCTGTGTCACGTCTTTGGTCTGATATTGCATGTAAACCAATCTTTTTTTCCTGCATTTTATTACATTGTTTTCAGAGGTGCGGCTAGGTGCATAGTGTTTAGTATATATACAGTACTTTTTACCATCTACACCCCTTTTCCTGATCTGCAGATGTAGAGGTTAAATCTCATCCACATGTGTAGAAGAAAAAAAACAAAAACCTAAAAATCACTACAAATGTTTTGATTGCATTAGTAGCAGCTTATGATACTGGTTGCAGAAGTGGTATCCAACCCTGGCCACATTATTTGCTGTAGGACTACACTGCCCTTAAACCATTCCCAGTCAAATAGTGATTTAAAATAGCTGATGCTTGAAAAAGGTGTCTCAATAAGTAGGCAAGTACGACTGATGCACTGACACACAATCCTATGAAACCGCTTTCTCGTGAACAGCAATACCCTACAATGGCGTTTTGGTTTAATGACTAGCTTGTGATACATTTATATTTAATTTTTTCCTGAGATTTTCTCATGTTCCCCTGCAGTGGGGCATAAGAGAAACATATCTTGGGCTTAAGGACAGACGTGCCATTTGTACTGTCTTACTGTATCTGGGAGTTTGGAGTATATTGCTATAATTCTGTTCTCCTATTTAACTACATGTAAAAATTAATTTAATGTAATTTTAAGCAGATTTTTAAACAATTTGGCAACACTTCCACAAATTAGAATCATCCAGCAGTTTATCAGTTTCCTCTACATCTTGAATGGTGAGGGGAAACCTGTAGCTCTTTGCCGGTTAATGAACTGCATATCCCTTAAATTCGTCATCAGAATGGGACTGAAAGAACATCACTGGAGAAAGAGTTTAACTTCGAGCAAAGAGCTATGGTTTACCTAAAGTGTGCAGTGCATTAACCCTTTCAATGCCAGAGTAATCCTCAGTGCATTTCAACGCAATTCTTCTCCGGCACATCATGGCGACAAACAAATGGTAAATGTTACTTCTATGGAGTGGCTGTTAGATGGGCATTGGATTTGTTGTACTTCTGGCTAGGATACCCCAGAGGTAACCGCTGCCTGTTAGTATATCTGTCCCTCCGCTTTGTAAGCACCGGGTGACTTCATCGGCCTTCTCTATTCTAAGTTCTACGTTCTGCTTCTCTCGTGCTAATAAAGTCTGTCTTTCAGTGTAGACTGCCGATATCTTTTACATCAAGACTTGCTTGGATCAGGGAGCTGCTATTTTCCTAAGAAACAAGTGTTTTAATTTGAAATTGTAAATTCCTAAATAAAATATTTTGCGCTGTAACGCACTTTCAAATGTAATTTCTTCCTGTGTTTTTTGTTTAATGTACATACTCTGTTAGTATTGTAAGTTTAAAAATTGAGTAAGGAGCACAACCATAAATGTTTATATACAAAAAATCTTTTTATTCAGTGGGTACACAATACTGGAATATCTCATTACACTAGAGACAAAGATATAAAGTCATATCATATTATAAAGTAACAGCCAGTACAATTCTGGATGTATATATAAACGCCAAATGCGTATTATATAAATAGCAAAGTATCAGTACAATAGGTAGTTAAATGAGATACCAATACAATCCAATCCCAGAAATATAAGCACATGTAGAAAAAATACAACAAGCATACCAGACCCAGTGAGAAGCAGGGACGGAGTCAATCACCAAAGCACCCCCAGGGTGATTGACTCTGTCCCTGCTTCTCACTGGGTCTGGTATGCTTGTTGTATTTTTTCTACATGTGCTTATATTTCTGGGATTGGATTGTATTGGTATCTCATTTAACTACCTATTGTACTGATACTTTGCTATTTATATAATACGCATTTGGCGTTTATATATACATCCAGAATTGTACTGGCTGTTACTTTATAATATGATATGACTTTATATCTTGGTCTCTAGTGTAATGAGATATTCCAGTATTGTGTAACTACTGAATAAAGGTGGGTTTTTTTGTTTTGTTTTTTTATATATAAACCTTTATGGTTGTGCTCCTTACTCATTTTGAATTTGTATGTATTTGGGCTTTTGGGGATAGGGTGCTCACTTACAAAAGGCTCTATCTCTCATTTGTATAGAGCTCCATTTTAAGGGGCTAGCTTGCATTTAATATTGGAATGTGCCGACCTTATTTAATTTTTTACTATTATTGTAAGTTTATACACGGCCAACTGCTTCTCATTAACAGCTGACGCTAGACCTCATATTTAATGTTTTTTTTTGTGTGACCCTTTATTACTACTGGCTTTTAGCATTGTTCTTCCCATGCAGTAATTTAACTGCAACGGTAATCGTACATAGAAAACGTTGAGCTTACACTTTTGAGAATGTAAACATCAAAAGTTGTAGTTGAATTGGTCTTGCTGATAAAATACTTATCCCTTAAAACCAACCAAGATAAGCGTTTATAAAGCCAAGGATATCTTACTGATGAGGTAGAGTTATGTCAGCACCTATTGCTTCCCATCAAACAATACATTGAGAAAAACTTTGAAGGTATCTTTTATTTTACATGTTTAAAATATTTCAACTGAAAAGAAAGAAACTCTAAAAATGAAACCAGAAAAAAAAACAACGCATGATGCTTGCTATACATCAGCAATGATCAGTTGAATGTGTTTTGTCCTTTTTGGGTGAATGGAATATTATTGTTATTCTGCTACGATATATCAAATATATAAAAGTTCTGGGGATTTTATCAATTACAGGATATACTGTCTGAAGGTAAATTTGGCATGTCTATGTTTTGAGGATTTTACACGGTTATTCCTCAGCAGAGACAATTTTAGTGTTAGGGGCTTTTCTGAGAATTATGTGATTTACGAATAATTTACACAGAAGAGAATTTTCTTATTTACACACTGATTTCTAAACACATTTATTGTAGCTTAAAGACACATTACTGGGAGTATTATTGCTGTGGAGCTCTGATTTACACTCACACATTACTGGGAGTATTATTGCTGTGGAGCTCTGTTATACACTCAGACACATTACTGGGAGTATTATTGCTGTGGAGCTCTGTTATGCACTCAGACACATTACTGGGAGTATTATTGCTGTGGAGCTCTGTTATACACTCAGACACATTACTGGGAGTATTATTGCTGTGGAGCTCTGGTATGCACTCAGACACATTACTGGGAGTATTATTGCTGTGGAGCTCTGTTATACACTCAGACACATTACTGGGAGTATTATTGCTGTGGAGCTCTGTTATACACTCAGACACATTACTGGGAGTATTATTGCTGCGGAGCTCTGTTATACACCAAGACACATTACTGGGAATATTATTACTGTGGAGCTCTGTTATACACTCAGACACATTACTGGGAGTATTATTGATGTGGAGCTCTGTTATACACTCAGACACATTACTGGGAGTATTATTGCTGTGGAGCTCTGTTATACACACACACACATTACTGGGAGTATTATTGCTGTGGAGCTCTGTTATACACTCAGACACATTACTGGGAGTATTATTGCTGTGGAGCTCTGTTATACACTCAGACACATTACTGGGGGTATTATTGCTGTGGAGCTCTGTTATACGCTCAGACACATTACTGGGAGTATTATTGCTGTGGAGCTCTGTTATACACTCGGACACATTACTGGGAGTATTATTGCTGTGGAGCTCTGTTATACACTCAGACACATTACTGGGAGTATTATTGCTGTGGAGCTCTGTTATACACTCAGACACATTACTGGGAGTATTATTGCTGTGGAGCTCTGTTATACACTCAGACACATTACTGGGAGTATTATTACTGTGGAGCTCTGGTATACACTCAGACATTACTGGGAGTATTATTGCTGTGGAGCTCTATTATACACTCAGACACATTACTGGGAGTATTATTGCTGTGGGGCTCTGTTATACACTCAGACACATTACTGGAAGTATTATTGCTGTGGAGCTCTGTTATACACTCAGACACATTACTGGGAGTATTATTGCTGTGGAGCTCTGTTATACATCAGACACATTACTGGGAGTATTATTGCTGTGGAGCTCTGTTATACACTCAGACACATTACTGGGAGTATTATTGCTGTGGAGCTCTGTTATACACCCAGACAAATTACTGGGAGTATTATTGCTGTGGAGCTCTGGTATACACCCAGACACATTACTGGAAGTATTATTGCTGTGGAGCTCTGTTATACACTCAGACACATTACTGGGAGTATTATTGCTGTGGAGCTCTGTTATACACTCAGACACATTACTGGGAGTATTATTACTGTGGAGCTCTGTTATACACTTAGACACATTACTGGGAGTATTATTGCTGTGGGGCTCTGGTATACACTCAGACACATTACTGGGAGTATTATTGCTGTGGAGCTCTGTTATACACTCAGACACATTACTGGGAGTATTATTGCTGTGGAGCTCTGTTATACACTCAGACACATTACTGGGAGTATTGTTGCTGTGGAGCTCTGTTATACGCTCAGACACATTACTGGGAGTATTATTGCTGTGGAGCTCTGTTATACTCTCAGACACATTACTGGGAGTATTATTGCTGTGGAGCTCTGTTATACACTCACACACACCAATAATATGGAGGTCTTAGAAAAGAGGGACATTAGGATAAAATAGAGAGAGGGTCCAAAATAGGGACTGTCCCTTCTAAACAGGGACACTTGGGAGCTATGGTGTTCATCACATGTGCTGTCATGGACTTTCAGAGTTACTCTGTGCAGGAGGAAGCGAAGTAGCCCAGATTACTGGTAATCTATAAGAAATGTAAGGTTATCCTCCCACCAGCAGGGGCCGCTGTCTGGCGCAGTTTCAATGCTCGGCCTGTTGGTGGCTGTAGTTTTGTCCTCCCACCAGCAGGGGCCGCTGTCTGGTGCAGTTTCAATGCTCGGCCTGTTGCTGGCTGTAGTTTTGTCCTCCCACCAGCAGGTGTACGCTGTTCGGCGCAAAAGCTCAATGCTCGGCCTGGTTGGTGGCTGTAATTTTGAACCAAAGCAGGGGCCGCTGTCTGGCGCAGTTTCAATGCTCTGCCTGTTGGTGGCTGTAGTTTTGTCCTCCCACCAGCAGGGGCCGCTGTCTGGCGCAGTTTCAATGCTCTGCCTGTTGGTGGCTGTAGTTTTGTCCTCCCACCAGCAGGGGCCGCTGTCTGGCGCAGTTTCAATGCTCGGCCTGTTGGTGGCTGTAGTTTTGTCCTCCCACCAGCAGGGGCCGCTGTCTGGCGCAGTTTCAATGCTCGGCCTGTTGGTGGCTGTAGTTTTGTCCTCCCACCAGCAGGGGCCGCTGTCTGGCGCTGTGACAAGGCTCCATGCTCGGCCTGTTGCTGGCTCCCATGCCGTCTCTATGGCGCTGTGTTGTTGTCTCGGTTACCAGGAGCCGGGATGTGGACGGAGGATGCCGGATGGGTCCTGACAGGCCGAGCCCCGGACAGACACCGAGCAGCACGGCCACAACCACGGTGCGGCCCTGGGGGAGAGGGGAGACCCTGATATCTGTGTGTTGGGGG